TTACTTTACTTTACTTTACTTTACTTTCTTTACTTTACTTTCTTTACTTTACTTTACTTTCTTTACTTTACTTTCTTCTTCTTCTTCTTCTTATTATTTTTTNTTATTTTTTCTATTTTTTCTTTTTTATTTAATTTTTTCTAACTTCCCCTTAAGGTGGAATATAGGGTTAGGGTAGTTAACAAGAAATAGTTTGGGATAAAAATACCCCTCTGGTCAAGAATGGTTTGTGGCCTTATTTTTAAACAAGGTTCTTTTAAAGGGCAGTCCAATGCTTAGTGTACCGGATCGGACTTGCTTCTAAATGTTTTTGAGAGGATGAGGCCAGGCCGATACTTGGAATGTTGGGCTTGACTCGTTTTCAAAATAAGTATTGAGTGCAAGTCATATCTAACACTTTTATGTGTCAAACTAGCTTCAATTACAAAACTAAAACTGGTCTAGCACTTGGAGTGTTGAACATCTTCAAATATAAAACAAAAGTCGATTCGATATTCCATGTGACTGACTAACTTTTAATGTAAAATAGAGGCCGGACTAGTATATGGAGTGTTGGACCGGCTCCAAAATAAACCAGAAGTCAATTCAGTACTCTATGTGTCAGACCGGCTTTTAATGTAAAACAAAAACTGCTCCCGCACTCCATATCTTGGACTGACATGAGACTACAAGACATTCTTCACTACAAAAGGAATTTTCGTCCTAAAATGCCCTATGTTCTTTCTTAGGGGGCTTAAAAAAAATAAAAATAAATAAATGGGTTGCTACTGTGGTAAAAAAAGGTAGTAGGGAGCTATGCCTAGAAAGTATGATCCAAGAGGTGTATGTAATTTTCTTTAAAAAATATTGTATCTTATGACATATCATTAGATTGTTTATTTTTAAGATTTTCAAATAGTTATAGACATATTCAATCTACACTATTGTTGAAACTTTAAATTTTATTACCAAGGGTGTATTAAGAGTTTATGCATCAAAACTATATTTTCCTGGCACTGCCTAGAAATGCACTTTATTTTAATGAGAGGGCTTTCTATGCAACCCCATTCACATATATGGTATATGTAACATTTAGTCTCAGCCGCTAGATCTGAGTAGATGGATGAGATGGCTTGAGTCACAATGTCACAAGCTAGCTCTTAATCTTCAGATCTTAATCATATGGCTCATAGTTGTTTATTTTTTTTTACAAATAATTTTGAAGCAAATTTGGGGCTTACATAGATCTGACAGTGGCACACATGATAAAAATAATACAAAAATATTTTCGATGAATACCTTAAAATTTCAAGGGCATTTTAGTAAATTTTTTTATAAAGTATTTGTTTTTTATTTTTTATACATTTGCCCTAATTTTATAATGGTATACCCAAAATTTCATCCACAATTGTAAAAAAATGAAAAATAATACAGTGTTTGGTGTTCATAATCATTTGATCCAGATCGAACGGTTAAAAAGTGGGGTCACATATAACATATTTGTTGTTGGGATCACACATAAACATTTATTTATTTTTTAATCGCTGA